AAACATCCAGCCGCAACGTTAGCGACATGATCAACAGTACCGTTCACACAACACCAGAACCAGCCGGGAACTCAGACCCAGGTAGTCATTCAGAACCAGTTACTAATGATAAACCTTCAGACTCCGAGTCTGACGAAAGCGATGATGGCTGGAAGGAGAGTCAGGAACATGAGTCAGGTGTAAACTCTCTGAAAAGTGATGATGCCTCTGTGAGTGATATGAGCTGTAATACTGACAAGGAGTCGTTTAGCTGCTCCGAGTGTGGGAGAACGTTTTGCCGCAGGGACCATCTGATGAGCCACATGAGAACGCACACCGGAGAGAAACCGTTTAGTTGTTCAGTTTGTCAGAAACGTTTTAGCTGCAGTGGAAACATTTTGGCACACATGAGGATTCACACAGGAGAGAAACCATTTGAATGCTCATTTTGTGGCAAAAGTTTCAGCCAGAAAGGAACTCTGCAGCTACACATGAGAATCCACACAGGGGAGAAACCGTTCAGTTGCCCGTTCTGCGACAAAAGATTTGCACACAAAAGACGAATGACACTGCACATGTCAGTTCACACAGAGGAGAAACGCTTCAGCTGCACTGCTTGTGACAGAAGATTCACTTGGTATACGCAGCTCAAGACGCATAAGTGTGTTGGTGAGTCCTCGCAGCTTCGTCAAAGCCAAACGGAGAAAAAGGTTCCTGCCAAGGAATCGTTCAGCTGCACTGAGTGTGGTAAAAAGTTTAGCCTCAAGGGCAATCTGAAGACACACATGAGAATTCACACAGGGGAGAAACCATTTAGCTGCTCGGTTTGTGGCAAAAGTTTCAAACAAAACGTCCACCTTACAGAGCACATGACCATTCACACAGGTGAAAAACTGTACAAATGCAGCATCTGTGGCAAAGGATTCAACAAGAAGCTACTGGTCAAAAACCACACCTGTGTTTAATCCTTGTCTTGAACGAGTGAATCAAGTCTGCAGTAAAAAAGATGAGCAGCAAGGTGAATGTGTGCGTCATTTTTCTGTATAAAGGTAAAGATTAGAACCTTATAAGCAGCTGAACACCTAATTAGGAAATTTAAGCACAACTGAATCTTTAATGTAAAATACCTCTGCACTTACATGCGGAAATATTTTACTTTGAAAACCATTTGTCTGAATTAATTTCACCTAAATTTAGGGCTGAAACGATTCATCGATTAATTTAATTAATTTGATTACTATAAAGCATCGACGCGTTGTTTAATCCATATAACTATGTTTCGCACAGACATTTATTACTGTCGCACATCGCGCTTACGCTGTGTGAACACGATGTGATTATGATGGCGCTGTTTGCAAAGTGGAGGAAGAGAGAAAATAGCGAGGGACGAAGAAGAAAGTGTCCAAAGTCTGGGATTATTTCAAGCTAAAAGAAAGAAGACCTGCAAATGAAATTTACTTCTTAAACGAATGAATAAATGAAATAGTCTGTAGAATACTCACAAAAATCACCGTTAGCTGCAGCCCTACCTGAATTATTAAAGATAATTTAAAACTTGTATTTAATTTTCAAATATTAGATACTTCCACCAGCTTCTGTAACTCAACAGTCTCACATTTCTTTCATCTGCCTTCCTGAAAAATATTTTCACATATAAACTCCACCACAGATTCCTTAGAACAGAATAAACTACAGGTTCCATGAAACTACAGACAGACATCATAAGTTTATCTCTTCAAAACTCGTATTTTCAACTTTCAGCTGTTCAGTGTTTGTTACATTTGAACATAAACTTTGAGCATTCAGTAGTGATTCAGTTTCACAATTAGGTAACAATAAAGTGAGAGGGGGAGCACATCTGCTTGTGATTATTAGTATGTGGCATCACTAAATGTGACACTATCATTTCTAACAACAGCTATTTCTTATTTTTAAAAATCATGTATAATGCATCATATATAATCATTGTTTTCATTGTGAGCAGTTAAAGTTTCAGCAGGATCTCAGAGATTAGAGTTTATAAACTTAAAATGTCACTGCATGAACAGATTGTTCCTTTCAAAAAGAAAATCTGATAATGTCATCAAGTTTAAAACAATGTGCTTTCTGCTGTAACTGGACTGAGTTGTCAGCACGCCTACAGTTCTGTAATCTTTAAATAAATATATACCGGACCCACAGTGACTGTCTTTCACTGAATTTTGTCCTTTTCACAGTTTAATAATTATTTGTATAATGACCTTTTTTTTCTGTTTGCTTTTTATGATGGCTACAAATAAAGGTTATGATATTGCGGATAATAACCTCTCATCTCTTCCCCCATCGAGAGAATCACAGCACAAGCTTATCTTTTGTACACCTAAAATTTATCATTTTACTTCAGAAGAGAAAAAAAGAAATGCATCTAATCGATGAGCATGCTGATTCATGTGTATCAGAGGGGTTTTGCACGGTGGCACAGGCAGTTTGGTTTATCATTTAACAACTTGATAGTAGTTACCTGCATGTGTGTGTGTGTGTGTGTGTGTGTGGGGGGGGTGATAGTTAAGCAAGTAGACTCATATATACGTATACATACACACATATATACACACACACATATATACACACACACACACACACACTTATATACACACACACACACACACACTTATATACACACACACACACATATACACACACACACACACACATATACACACACACACACACACACACATATACACACACACACACACACACACATACACACACACACACACACACATATACACACACACACACACACACATATACACACACACACACACACACATATACACACACACACACACACACACACATATACACACACACACACACACACACATATATATACACACACACACACACACATATATACACACACACACACACACACATATATACACACACACACACACACACACGTACACACACACACACACACACGTACACACACACACACACACACGTACACACACACACACACACACACGTACACACACGTACACACACATATATACAGTGGGGGAAATAAGTATTTGACCCCTTGCTGATTTTGCAGGTTTGCCCACTTACAAAGAATGCAACAATCTACAATTTTAATCATATGTACATTCTAACAGTGAAAGACAGAATCCCAAAGAAAATTCCAGAAAATCACATCATATGAATTTATAAAAATTGATAACCATCTGATGAGGAAAAACAAGTATTTGACCCCCTGGACAAACAGCATGTTAATATTTTGTAGAAAAGCCATTATTGGCCAGCACAGATGTCAAACGGTTTTTATAGTTGGTGACAAGGTTTGTGCACATTTCGGCAGGGATGTTGGCCCACTCCTCCCTGCAGACAGCCTCCAAATCATTCAGGTTCCGAGGTTGTCGCCTGGCAACTCGAATTTTAAGCTCCCTCCAAAGATTTTCAATTGGATTCAAGTCTGGAGACTGGCTAGGCCACTCCAGAACCTTGATGTGCTTCTTCTTCAGCCACTCTTTTGTTGCTTTGGCGGTGTGCTTAGGGTCGTTGTCGTGCTGAAACACCCATCCTCGACCCATCTTCAGCTCTCTCACTGAGGGAAGGAGATGTTGGTCCAGAATTCCACGATACATGGCCCCGTCCATCCTCCCCTCAATACGATGGAGTTGTCCCGTCCCCTTGGCTGAAAAGCACCCCCAAAGCATGATGTTGCCACCACCATGCTTGACGGTGGGGATGGTGTTCTTTGGGTTGTACTCGGTGTTCTTTGCCCTCCAAACACGACAAGTTCAGGCCAAAAAGTTCTATTTTGGTCTCATCTGACCACATCACCTTCTTCCAGGCCTCTTCTGAGTCGTCCAGGTGGTGAATGGCGAACTTCATGCGGGCCTGTACATGTTTCTTCTTGAGCAGGGGGACCTTGCGTGCGCTGCAGGATTTCAATCCATGACGGCGTAGTGTGTTACCAACCGTTTCTTTTGTAACTGTGGTCCCAGCTGCCTTCAGTTGATTCATCAGTTCCCCCCTTGTGGTTTTGGGATGATTCCTCACCGTTCGCATGATCAGGGACACCCCACGAGGCGAGATCTTGTGTGGAGGCCCAGACCGAGGGAGGTTGGCGGTGGTGTGGTGCTTCTTCCATTTCCTGATAACTGCACCGACAGTTGATCTTTTCTCTCCGAGTTGCTTTCCGATTCTCTTGTAGCCCATCCCAGCCTTGTGCAGATCAACAATCTTGTCCCTGATGTCCGTAGAAAGCTCTTTGGTCTTGCCCATGGTGCTGATGTTGGATGCTGGTTGTTTGGGTGTTGACAGGTGTCTTTTATACAGGTAACGAGGTGAGGCAGGTGTATTTGATGTAGATAATTGGTTGGGATTGGGGCTGTGTCTTAAAGAAAGACTAACTGGCTTGTAGGAGCCAGAATACTTGCTGTTTGTCCAGGGGGTCAAATACTTGTTTTTCCTCATCAGATGGTTATCAATTTTTATAAATTCATATGATGTGATTTTCTGGAATTTTCTTTGGGATTCTGTCTTTCACTGTTAGAATGTACATATGATTAAAATTGTAGATTGTTGCATTCTTTGTAAGTGGGCAAACCTGCAAAATCAGCAAGGGGTCAAATACTTTTCCCCCCCCACTGTACACACACACACATATATATATATATGCAATGTCAGCTCTAAAGGTTTTCATCAGGTCATAGAAATGTTCTGCAGTAAAAACTATTTAAATGTTCTGTGGGGGGCCACAGAAAAGGAAGAAGCTGAGGAGAAGCAGAAGCTCGGTGCAGCACTGAGCTGTGAGGATGAACAGGAAGTGAATAAAATCACCTGATTTCAGAAAAACTCTCTCCAGCAGCATTATTATAAGACCAGATAATCTAAACTCACCTCTCAGGTCCCTGTAGTGATGTCTCTCTGCGGTCCTCAGCTCTCTCTGCATCTCAGTCAGATGATTAAATAAAGCTGTTGTACATAAATGAGGGAATATCTTAGCAGCAGTCACAAACACACTGTGCAGGAACCTGTTTCATTTTATTTTAAACAATTCACACAAATCTAAAATGGACTTTTGAAGAATAACATGTCACTAAGAATGAGGAAAGAACAGATGTAGAACGATGCCACCTTCACGTCAGGTTTCAAACACCGTCATCCTAATTAGTCCTGAAACTCTTCAGAAAGCTCTGATGTGTCCGAATTGGTTAAACTTTAAATATTTAATAACTGAAGTGTTTTATTACCGAAGTTCAGTAACTTTAACAACCAAACATCTGGAGTCGTGCAAAGACGTGAACGCTGCAGGCTGTTAACACCTCTTCTAGTGATGGAGCCTCAAACGCAGCAGCACGGCGACACCTGCAGGTCTGTAGAGCTTATAGCAGCTCTAAGATTTTCCAGTGAAAGATGTTCCAGTGAAATAATGACTGCAGATCTAAAAGATGAACGGACCTTCCTGCTGAGGGTCACAGCCGCTGTGGACTCGTGTTTAACTTGATGGCCGATGTTTATGGAACATTTCCAGAGTCTCGGTGTGATGTGACTGGAGGATGGGATCCATTAAATGAGCCCTAAATGTTCTCACAGCGCCGATTCTGTCTTTGTGAACATCATCAACATCTTCGGTCACAGAGTTCAGCTGGATGAATCTTTCTGAAGCAGCAGAGACTTTTGAAGCTTCGGTCTCCATCAGTCACCTGCTGTTGTTCATCTGAATCAAGCGTCGCAGCTTCAGCAGGTTTGAAGTCTGCCAGTTTGTGTGGAGACATCCGAACATCTGGATTCAACCTAACTGGAAGAAGGACGTTCGTTTCCTGCTGCAGCTTCACCAACACACTTGTGTTTTTTCAGCTGTCTACGCCAACTGAACCTTTGGTCACAAACGCTGCAGCTGAAAGGTTTCTCCCCCGTGTGGACGACCATGTGCTGCCTCATATTTCCCTTTTCTCTAAATTGTTTTCCACAGAACGAGCAGCTGAAGGGTTTCTCTCCTGTGTGGATTTTCATGTGTGTGTTCAGATTTGACTTCTGACTAAATAGTCTCCCACACTCGGCGCAGCGGAATGATTTCCCGCCTGCATTACGTCTCACTTTACTTGCTGGTGCTTTGTTATTTTTCAGAAAGTTTAAACTTGACTGAGGTCCTCTGGCCTTCTTCCAACCATCACTGATTTCAACCTTAAGTCCAGAATCAGCAGGTTGTAAAAGTCTTTCTGGATCAGAGTTCCTTTCTGGTTCTAACCCTACGGACTGATGACCGACCAACTTGTGGCTTTTGCTCTGTTTTGTGAACAAAGTGAATCTTTCATCACAAACACTGAAGCTGAATCGTTCCTCCCCCGTGTGGACCGCCATGTGTCGTCTCAGATCTCCTCCCTCTGAAAATATTATACCGCAAACTAAGCAACTAAAAGAGTTCTCTCCTGTGTGAATTTTCATGTGTATCTTCAGATTTCTCTTGTTTCCAAATCTTTTCCCGCACTCAGAGCAGCTAAACTGTTTGTCGTCAGTAATGTGTGTCCTACGACTGACTGGGGCTTCATCCTTATTGTGAGAGTTTAAACCTGAATGAGGTTCTCTGGTCTCCTCCCAGTCTCCATCACTCTTGTCAGTTTCAGTCCAGTCCAGAGAATCGTCGTTACTAACTGGTTGTACAAGTCGATCTGGATCAGAGTTCCTGGCTGGTTCTGGTCCTCCACAGTCCTCTCCATCAGCTTCCATCTGTTCAGTTTGGCTCTGATGAAGCTGTGAGGACTGAGGTTTCTCTTCTTCATCATCTTCTTCACTCTTCACAGGGACAGGAGTGAATGTGAACTTGGTGATATCAGCCTCCTCCAGTCCTGGAAGCTGTTCTCCCTCCTGACTGGTCCAGAGTTCCTCCTGTTCCTCTTTAATGTGTGGCAGCTCTGGTGGGTCCTCCTGGTCCAGCCTGGGGCTCCACTCCTGCTGGTCTGGGGGAACCTCTTCTTTACTCACCAACAGCTGCTGGACATCTGCAGGACTCCCTGAAACAGACACATTATGGAAAGTGTCTTTAGGTTAACCAAAGCTACTGTAGATAAACTTTGATGTTAATGAGATCTGTGTTGTCATTTTTATTCAATAAAATATTATAGAATTATACACTCAGGTTCTGATGGTCATCCAACACCTTAAGATATCACATAAACCATAATATAATAGAAAAGCGGAAAATACTCACATTGAAAAAAACTCAAAGACAGTGTTTACACTAAGTATTATTAATTATACATTTATTAATTTATAATAAATGAATTGATATTAAGAAATACACCTGACATTTAGGTTGAAATAATGTCTGTTAATCATGTTTAAGCCTTGCTGGCTAGAAGGAGCACATGTTGGCTTCCTGATTAAATCTACATCTGTCCACTGCAGAGACTCTATCCAATCAATGCTGACCGCCGCATATCAAATTTTTACTTTATTTAAAATGGGTAAAATTGTATTTAATTGTAGAACTATGCTCCCTCTGTGAACAGCTCCTCCTCTTCCTGCACAATCTGAATGAAAACTTGATCATGTGCTGGAGGAAGGAATGTTGCAGGCTTTAAGCAGAATCAAGTTGTAGTTGAATCGTTAGTGCTGCTGCACAAACTTGTGCAAAACTAAAGCATTCAAATTGACTGAGCACAACGCTGTCACTGTCAGAGACCCACCCAAGTTCTTAGCAGGCATGTAAGGAGCCGAGCTAATAAGGAGAGCTATGTTAACGTTAGAACACAGCTGGGTTGTCAAGGTTAAGTGCTTATCAACACCGACTGCTCGTGCATTATATAGAACTAGTACAAATGAGTGTACTAGTATAATATATATATATAATTATAACATTAAACGAATAGTATAACGCTAACAGTATACTGTGAGACTAATAATATTAGCATAATTATATAATGTTACTATATTGATTATAATGTAAAATAACAGTATAGAATCTAACACTGGTATAATATTATTTCAGATACAGCAGATTGTTTTCATTCATTAAATCCTTAAGCATTAAAATGCTGATGGTTAGTCTCAACATTTTCTTTGATCTTATTGTTAATTTTATGTTTAATATTTATATTCTTAACCCGCAGTACTTTATATTTCTACCTACTGTGTTTATTAATATATTATAAGAGACTGATGATCTGTCTTATGATCCAGGACCAGCAGCAGCAGAGAGAACCGACCTGCTCTGTGCAGCCGGACTTCAGGCTGGAACACCGCGTCCAGCAGCTTCCGGTGTCTCTGGTTCTCCTCTTTGGACCGACAGAGTTCCTGCTCGTACTCTGATATCGTCCTTTCAAACAGCCCGAATATCTCTTCAGCAGCCGCACTCAGTCGCTGCTTCACCAACGCTCTCAGCACCTGGACTTTACTCATTTCCATCGCTCGAAACTTTTCTCCACGAACTCTGTTTTCACTCTGAGCTGCGCTGCGAGGCTAACTTCCGGTTAGCATGCTAAGCTACCTCCAGTAGCTCCGGAGGCTCCCGGGAGATGAGTCCGAGGTGAAGCCGGAGAGCAGCAGCTTTATCCGGACACACGGAGGCTCTGGCGGCTCCTCGCTGTTGGTGCCAGAGACTCTTTCTCAGCACAACAACGGGACAAAGCTGATCCGTCCCAAAGAGGCTGGAAGCTCCGCGCTCACTGGCCGAGCCCGGGAACCCGCCTCACTTCCGGGACGTGGCTTCAAAATAAAAGCCTCTGCGAGTTTTGTTTATTCTGACCATAAAGCATTTAGTAAACGCTCTGGCTGCTGCTGACATTACACTTATGATGACTTGGGGACAGAGTTTAATTAGTGCTGATTCTCTTCAGCTGATTAAACGTTTTCCTCCCAGTGTTTCTGTGAACAGCATGCAAAACTTCAAAGCTGTCTGTTTCTGCGTCTGAAGTTTCCAGATGACCAGTAATAAGCTGTATTCTGTCAGTCAGACTGCATGAAGAGAGTTAAACATATCTATGCATGAGTTACTTTTAAACTCTGTTGTTCAGGTCGTCACACAGACCTGCGTCCAGAGAGGTTCCTGCAGAGAGTCACTCAAAACTTTCCCCATCTGACTCATCTGTTTGTCAAAAGTGCTTAAAACGTCATACGCCTGTCATACGGCTGTCCTACGCCTGTCATACGGCTGTAATACGCCTGTCATACGGCTGTAATACGCCCGTCATACGCCCGTCATACGCCTGTCATACGCCTGTCATACGGCTGTAATACGCCCGTCATACGGCTGTCCTACGCCCGTCATACGCCCGTCATACGCCTGTCATACGCCTGTCATACGGCTGTAATACGCCCGTCATACGGCTGTCCTACGCCCGTCATACGCCCGTCATACGCCCGTCATACGCCTGTCATACGGCTGTAATACGCCCGTCATACGGCTGTAATACGCCCGTCATACGCCCGTCATACGCCCGTCATACGCCCGTCATACGCCCGTCATACGCCCGTCATACGCCCGTCATACGCCTGTCATACGGCTGTAATACGCCTGTCATACGGCTGTAATACGCCCGTCATACGCCCGTCATACGCCTGTCATACGCCTGTCATACGGCTGTAATACGCCCGTCATACGGCTGTCCTACGCCCGTCATACGCCCGTCATACGGCTGTAATACGCCCGTCATACGGCTGTAATACGCCCGTCATACGGCTGTAATACGCCCGTCATACGGCTGTCATACGCCCGTCATACGCCCGTCATACGCCCGTCATACGCCCGTCATACGCCCGTCATACGGCTGTCATACGCCCGTCATACGGCTGTAATACGCCCGTCATACGGCTGTCCTACGCCCGTCATACGCCCGTCATACGGCTGTAATACGCCCGTCATACGGCTGTAATACGCCCGTCATACGCCCGTCATACGGCTGTAATACGCCCGTCATACGGCTGTAATACGCCCGTCATACGGCTGTCATACGCCTGTAATACGCCCGTCATACGCCCGTCATACGCCCGTCATACGGCTGTCATACGCCCGTCATACGGCTGTAATACGCCCGTCATACGGCTGTAATACGCCCGTCATACGGCTGTAATACGCCCGTCATACGGCTGTAATACGCCCGTCATACGGCTGTCATACGCCTGTCATACGCCCGTCATACGCCCGTCATACGGCTGTCCTACGCCTGTCCTACGCCCGTCATACGCCCGTAATACGCCCGTCATACGGCTGTAATACGCCCGTCATACGGCTGTCATACGCCCGTCATACGGCTGTCATACGCCCGTCATACGGCTGTCATACGCCCGTCATACGGCTGTAATACGCCCGTCATACGGCTGTCATACGCCCGTCATACGGCTGTCATACGCCTGTCATACGCCTGTCATACGCCTGTCCTACGCCTGTCATACGCCCGTCATACGCCTGTCATACGGCTGTAATACGCCCGTCATATGGCTGTAATACGCCCGTCATATGGCTGTAATACGCCCGTCATACGCCCGTCATACGCCCGTCATACGCCCGTCATACGCCTGTCAATAAATCTCTGCTGACCTAGAAATAAATTCAATAAGCTGCTTCTCCAAATCAGAAGCAGAAAATTAGGAAAATTGTGTTAACTTCAGATTAAAGTGACCGTGACCACATGTGAACAGGAAATTGACCTTAAAACAAGTCATGACAACAAGTGGCGATTTTTGAGACTGAGCGTGTTGGAGTTATGAACAGTGTGACAAACTACCCCGCTCTGCCCTACCGCTGAAAAGCAACCATTCCTCTGCAGTCACAATTTGGTGTAAAGGCGAGTCCTTAGAAAGTCAGGCAGCTACGTTTAAGATAGTTAGTTAAAACACATGTTGCTGTTACTGTCATTATTAAATAGCAATATAAACAATGTTCCCTTATTCAAAGAGCAAAAATATTGCTCTTTTCTCCTGTTCATAAGTTATATTGACATGTACTATATAAATAGGCTTTTTATGTGACACACAGTTCATAGGAATTACATCTTATGGATTAAAAATTAAAACAATCATTTAATTTAAATTAATTCTTTTAAGTTGGAGTTTACTAGCTAGTATAGACCGTTTTTGCTAAAAGCTATATAATAAACTGATGATCTTTATAATACATTAAAATGGGCAATAAAACAACCTTCTTGGAAGAAGCACACCTGGTGAAACATAAAGAGAAAAATGTTTCTTAAGATGTCTTCTATCACACCACTGGACCCGTTGCTGTTTATTGGTCAACGTCAGAGCCAAGACGCAATAAAGGTATTTGCAGTATGAAGCAGCTACACTATATAAACTTGAGGGAGACTGGAGGTACATCAAGTGATACTGGGACACTGGAAAGGTGAGTACTTTTTATTGTGTTTTCACCTCAAGATCATTAAATTATCAAATTATAATTAATTATTATTAATGATGAATACATTTAAGAGTAATCTCAAAAGATCAAACATGATGAAATTAATAGCTGTATCATGAAATACTTTTTGTTATCATTTCAAGCTATTTCTCCTGGTACCATTCAATATTAAAGTTTTCAGTCAAAGTATTTTAATTATTACTTTACTTCTTCAAAACAAATTTGCCATGTTCAGAATGTTTTGATGGCTCAACATTTGAGGTGCTGAATTCTTTAACAAGCTTCTGTTTTAGGGTTGGTTTAATGCTGTATTATAAACTGCTGGTAATTAACAGTGACTTTGTTCTGCGTTTCATCCTCAGATGAAGCTGTCAGCGCTGTTGCTGCTGGCCCTGCCGGCTCTGTCTTCGGCCACTCTAGAAACTGGGAATAACGCAGAGCAAAGAAACGGTAAACACAAACTGGTTTTAGGAATTTGGGGAATGGAAAAAAATGGCTTATAGATAAACATTGAATGTTGGTATTTCATCACTACCGTTGATTTTTAAAGGATCTCTTAACCTAAGTCACAAGCTAAATATGTTTTCTCACTTACCTGTTTGTGCTATGCAGCCAAGCAGATTCTCGAGCTCTGAGACTTCTGCCTCTACCCCAGTACAGTGTTTCCTCTAGGAGTTTTTCAGCACCTGTAAATGTCATTGGCTGTTAAAGTCTTTGCGCTGTTGACAACACATAGCCTAAGCAGTACTTCAGAATGCTCTCTATTACCTGTACATGCATACTGTTAGTGAGGGTAGTGGCGCTTACGGGACGTCACGGTGGGACGGGGGAGTATGAGGCTGGGAGGGAAAAATCACAGTATACTCACTAGAAAAACTAGACTACACTACTGCTCGCTACGCACCTCCTGATTCAGAGTTACGCTGCTCTTATAACGCCATCTGTCACGTGTGTTCTGCATAGAACGAGGAGAGGAAGCGTTGAGTGCTTCCGTGCTCGCTCACTGTGCCAGTGAAAACATTTGTAGCGCATAGTTTAATGATCGTGGGAAATTTTAGGCGCGGCGGTCGTGATTCAGCAGCGGAATGCATTTAGAGGAATGAAACTGGAAAAAAATACAACTCTAGCTGAAAGTTAAAATATATATTCTACATTCTAATCCTCTCCTTTTGTCAGTTATCACTTGTTCTATGCAAGTAAGCAAAAATAATCCATTTGAGCGTTTTACTTCCCTCTCTTTTGTAATCATGTAAAATTGTAAATCCAATCAAATGTCATTTGAGGTAACTAACTAGTGTTCTTGACGGTCAAGGTGGAAGTAAGTCCTCAATCTGACATTGATAAAGAAGAAACACACATACTGAACAGGTGTTAACTTCAGAGCAGTAGGATTTATTCTCCCTCACAAAACATATAAAGGTATCAAACATGTCAGTGGTTACATCTGGCATTCACTGGTAGTCCTGTTCTCATAGATATTTAACAGCACTGAGCTAGTAACAGTTACTTGTTCATTTACTTCACAAGGCTACAACTCAGTTAGGCTACTTGGATGCTTTAAACTCATTCACTTGAAAATAAAACATATTCACTTAAAAACTACATCACAATAAGCCTGGTTTTGCCAATAAACCACAAATATGTCCGTAAGGCTAAATACAACAATCAGGAAAAATGTACTGCATGAAAAACAGTTTTCTGCTGTATTGTCCGCTTTCTCTACACGACTTCACACGACAGAAGTCTGCAAGCATTCCAACACGTTTCTTAAACCGACCTGTGTAAAACAATTTAATAAGCTACACGTTCAACTTCAACAGAACCACCATGTACGATCAAGTTAAAGCATATTTACTGAAAATAAAGAATAGAAGAAACACACAAGTTGAGCTGGTGTTAACTTCAGGGCGGGAAACAATCCTTTACCACTAAAGTGTGATGCGCCCTCTAGTGGCATGGATGTGAAATCACTGTGTGGTGACTTAAAATGCAATAAAAGTATGAGTCATGAAATCAAACCAAACAGGGTGTTTGTTTTCAACCCACTACATAGCTAACCATCCTCTAGGCTAAAAGTTGCAGCCCAGTCCAAATGATAAAAAAAGAAACACCAGGAATCAGGAAGAGACCAGTTAATGACCTCAATCTTTAAAAAACTGAATAGAGCAAAACAATTAACTGCTTTGTTTCTTATTTTAAAACAAGCCCTGTATCTTGTATTAAAGCAAACACTGTTCTTGTCTGTGTCTTTTCCCTTTTCTCTTTCTCTCCTTCACAGACTCAGATCTAAATAGTAGATCTGACCTGACTGACAGATGGATGACAACAGATCAACCTCTCCTGAGTGTTTATACACTAAGGCAGAAGATGCATGTTCAGTCTTCTTCCATCAAGTCTGATGATGGCTCTAACCTGGAGTGGGTGACCTGGAACAACATTCTTCCAAACGATGCCGTTTCAATTGTCAATAATTACGCTGGTAACCGCATTGATTATGTATGCAAATACGGGTGTAACTCTGGCTATTATACCCCCAGCAGGGGTTCTTATTGCTTCTATCGCGGCACAAAAACAACCGACTTTGAGCTCCTAGTCAACAAAGACAACTTCGATATTCTGGAGCGGGTAGATGATTCATACGGCCACGTGCCCTAGAATTCAGTCAGAACCTGCCCTGGGCAGGAAATATACGTAGGAAAGAACAAATATGGACTTGGTAAGATAGTTACTAAAGATAAGGCCTTCTTCTTGGCTTGGGACGGTGGAGACATTTGGTACAAATACTACCAAGCCCTGACCACACATGATGATATAATCAGCCAGCAGATCTATGATGTCATTTACAATACTGCTGATCCTACAATAATAAGCTATCCTCCAAACATGATACACAAATCAAGCGTCAGCAACTATGAATGCCACACAGTGATTAAAACAGATACCATCTCAAAGACAAACAAGGTGGAGTATACGTGGGAATCCACCTTTGCTATCAAAGTTGGTGTTAAAATGAGTATCACTGCTGGCCTCCCCAGCTTAGTCTCCGAAAACATTGAGCGCAGAGACGACATACCAAGTCTCCAGTGGAACCACAGTGACAGAGGAGGTCACTGATACTACTACTGTGACTGTCAAAGTCCCACCAAACCACTCCTGCATAGTTAAAATGATGCGGAGTGACCACAAACTTCAAATCCCTTTCACAGCAAGACTCTCGCATACCTACAGTGACGGGGCGACCCGCACGACATCCATCACTGGGACGTATGACGGCGTTCAGATGGGACAAATTAGGGCCGATGTGGAACGATGTGAACCTCTCCCAGACGCCAAGCCTTGCCCATGAAATGCAAAAAGCCACACTTGATGTCAGAAATGTCTGTTTGATTACGGGTGGGTGGGGGGTGTCTAATGAATTTAATTAATCGAATATAAATATAAACCTATGCTTGATTACTCTGTATTAACCCTAAATCTCAGTTTAACATATATAAATGTGTAACTATTTTGGAAGCCAATCATAGTGCAGTATGCAATTTACACAAATGTGATGTAGAAAGCTCCAGTGCAAACACACTGAGAACGGACTTTTCAGTGAAGCTGGAAACATCTTGTGACAAGTAGTAGAAATAATTAGTATATTGATAAACTGTGTGCCATTTCCATACTACTTCCATATTGTGTGTGCTATCATATTAAAATTTATAGTCTTCTGTGTTTTGTATGTAATTTTTGTTTTTCCATTCTTTTACTTTTATCCAGTTGCACGCATGTCAATTAAACTGTAAGTTCAGGACATCACTAGCCTTAAAACTTAAAGGGGCTATATGTAAGTTTTAGATTTTAATAAATCACATTTTCATTGCCTTGTTGTCAGTGGGCTCAAAACACTTGTAAATGAAGCACACGCCTGTTTGCTGACATTGCTGAGCCTCCAGTGACAGATTCACAGATAGTAAAGATAGTTACTGAAAGCAGCAGGCGAGCCAACGATGTAGCATGTCGGCTAAATGCAGTAAATGTACTGTGATCATGTAACGAGTGTGGATTAGTTCAACTTGCAGCTGATAACAATATTACTGTAACGCTGCAGTGGGAGTTTACCTGAGTTTCCAGCTCTGTCTATAGCCGCCGTCACTCGGCCTTTTTTCTGGGAGGATTGCGCAGATATGCGTCTCGCTGCGATGAATGAAGTAACGTTACGGAGCCGGTGTTGATCCGCCTCTGAGACGGGAGCGCTGAAGTAACAGAGCCTGAACATGTTTGAGAGAAAAGCCACAGCTGCATGCAGGTGATCCTGCATTTATTGCAGGATTTCTGTATGGAAGCGGTTGTGTTTCGGATTATGCTCACTCATGAGCTCAAGCGAGCACGCGTACGAGCACACGACTGGTTGCAATCTTTGAACCGCACCACTAGTGGCCGCCAGAAACTACATAATGCCCCTTTAAAAAAAGAGATCAAGAGATCAAATTTTTGGGGGGGAATTTTGTAATTTTTCTTTGGTTTCTGAAATCCAGGAGCTAGTATTAGTATCAACACAACAATCAAAAGAATATAAGAAATGTAGCTTATTGGCTACCAGTCCAAAAATACTGATTTTGCCACATTGTAAACAGTTTTTTAAAAAAAGACACTCATCACAGAATGGATATGGGTAATTTTTGAACCAGGGACGGATACACGATACACCAGCAGCACCTACACCACACTTAATGGTAACAAGATTACTGAATAATATTTCTAACAATAACTTTAGTAAAACAGAACAAGGTGTTGCGCTCACAAGGAGGCGGCTAGAAGGAGCTCATATTGGCACACTGGCATCCGGGCTAAATCTACATCCGTCCACTGCAGAGAAACCATCCACAACCTGGAGGAGGACCTAGTATACATGTGTATTATTATAATATAACATTAAATAAAGAGTATAATGTTCAGGTAATAGTATACTTTTTTTTAATGTAAATATATAAATTACAACATTCATTATAATTTCATATAATAGCCTACTATTTTACCATTAGTTGAATATTAAATCCAGTTCCACCTGTTTCATTTCTGTGAGCTGTTTTTATTTATTAAATCCTTGTGCAGCAAAAGGCTCTACATCGGTCTCTAATGTGTTAATGCTAAGAACTAACTTGTCAATAATCATAATTTAAAGGTTTGCTGTAGCACGTCAAACTTTGTGTAATGTTTCACCCCATCCAGGCATAATTGCGATTAGATTAATCGTGCAGCCCTTCGTTTATATAAGTTAATCAAGATGTAACAATTATTGTTTAAATTCAGATGCAATGTGGGTTGGCAATAAATGTGTTCTTTCTGTTGTTGGTAAGTGAGTAAAATATTGCTTCAGGCTGAAACAGGAGCACAAATAAGGGCACGTAAGCAGCATACTGATGTCTTCCCATGTCAGGACCACATGACACATAAAAGACATCATATAAGCACAAATAATCAGTGAAAACAAGAAGCACCACTGCAGATGATGACAGCACATTTGATAATCCAGTAACCACTGTTTGGTAGTTTTCGAAAAGGAGTAAAGGGATGGAATGTTCTTTAGTTCAGTGAGTTTCAGTGGAATGATGTTTTGGAAACCCAAACTGTACAGGATGTAATCAGAAGGATGTCGCATTTAAATGAGAAATGCCCCTGACGACACAACGGTCATCGGCCTCATCCGGGACGGTGATGAGTCGGCCTACAGACGGGAGGTTGATCAGCTGTCTCTCTGATGCTGTCAGAACAACCTGGAGCTTAACACTCTCAAAACTGTGAGATGATCGAGGACTTCAGGAGGAGCCCCCCCCACTCTGCCCCCCATCACCATACTCAACAGCCCTGTGTCTGCTGTGGAATCCTTCAGGTTTCTGGGATCCACTATATCCCAGGACCTGAAGTGGGAGCCCAACACTGACATGATCATCAAGAAGGCCCAGCAGAGGACGTACTTCCTGCGTCAGCTCAGGAAGCTCAACCTGCCTAAGGACCTGCTGATCCAGTTCTACACAGCCATCATCCAGTCTGTCCTCTGCACCTCCATCACTGTCTGGTTTGGATCTGCCACCAAAAAGGACAGGAGCAGACTACAACGGACAGTCAGGACTGCAGAAAAGATCATCGGTGCCAACCAATGCCAATATTTTAAAGATTTAAAGAACTCAACAGCTCAGGATATATATGGGATGGATTCCTGGAGGAATGCCATAACTTTGTGTTCCTCAGTTACACAGCTGATAAATAACTCTTTTGGACAAGCTGTGTTACCTGAGAGTTTAAAAGCTGCAGTTATCACTCCAATTTTCAAGGAGACCACTCTGAAATTGCCAACTACAGACCAGTTGGTATCCTTCCAATAACATCTAAGGTAATTGAAAAAGTTGTGACCAAACAGCTAATTAACCAACTGAACTTGGGTCACTATTCTTTGAACAAAATGCAGTTTGGGTTTAGACCGAAACATTCAACAGAGACAGCCCTCTGTTATTTTGTGGAACAGTTAAAAGGCATGTTGGATAAAGGAGGGGTGGTAGGAGCCATCTTTATAGATTTTAAAATGGTATTCGATACAGTCAATCATAATGTGGTTATCTAAATTATCAACTCATAATGTCTCAGCAAATGCTACTGAATGGATGGCTTCATATTTGCGTAATAGACAACACTGTACAAGAATTACAGGAACAACCTCTTCATTCTTAGATTGTCCTACTGGTGTTCCGCAACGTTCAGTTTTAGGCCCTCTCTTATTCAGTATCTATATAAATGATCTACCATCCATCTATCCAGAAGTTAATATTCAAATGCATGCAGATGATACGGTTATTTATGTCCATGCTAAATCTAAACAGCAAGCTGCATCTCTAATCACTGGAGCTATGGAGAAAATCGCAGATTGGATGACATATTCCTGTTTGACACTAAATTTGTCCAAGACCGTTAGTATGCATTTCTCCATTAGAGGAAGTAATTGCACTCCTCCTGAGATTAGTATTAAAGGACAAAATGTACAGGATATTCAGCAGGTTAAATATTTAGGTGTGATTATTGATAGCAGTCTATCCTTCAAAAAACATATTACAAAAATTTCAAAAACAGTCAAGTATAATCTGGCTCATTTCAGATTTATAAGAAATCAAATGAGTACAAATGCAGCAAAACTGTACATGCATGCAATGATACTGTCATATTTTTCATACTGTAGCGCAACCTGGTCTCAAACAACTGGTACATTAATGCAACTACTTCAGAATCTGTACAAACAAGCATTGAAAGTCATGGATAAAAAAAAACCCTAATTCTTATCATTATTGTAATATGGTCAAAAAGCATAACATGTTGACTTCCTGTTTATGTCCAATGTTGGGTTAGTATATAAGACTGTAATGACTAATAATGACTTAGCACCACTACCTCTCAAACAGGATGTAACAATAAGCAGACCGGGCTCCAGGTTAACAAGAGCTTCCCGACTGTTGTGTTAAGTTACGGTCTACGACATTTGGACAAAACTGTTTTTCAGTAAAGGAAGCTGGGATGTGGAATTCTTTACCACTGAGTGTCAGAGAATGCAGTACATTTAAAACTTTTAAAGGTAGTGTGAAAATATATTTGAAGGACAGTCAGGTATGATGTCATTGATCTGTGTGTTTGGTTTATTTGGATTGTTGATGTTGTGTTTATTATGGTTTTGGGAGATTTGGTATATTTGAGTCTGTTTTTAGTTTGTTAAATTTGGCTTATTTGAATTGGTTGGCATTTATCTAATTATTTATGAATGTGTTTGGTTGTTTTTTTTTTTTTGTAATATTTTGCACGCTATTCCCCCCCAGGGGCTGCAGATGGGAATCAGCTTTTAGCTAAATCTGGTACAGTACATATATTGTGCATTGTCCCTGTTAAATAAATAATGTGTCAAAGACACAGATTCTGGCTTTTAATTATGATCGCCCTATGAATATTACTCAAAAATACCAGTTAAAGTGGGACGCAGTCTCAAGTAAATATTTAAGTTTACATTTACCAAAAGACCTGGCTAACCTGTTCAATATCAACTTTGCACAACTGAATTCCAGATTAAAGGTAGATGTGGGAAGGTGGAATGCTATTCCACTCCTCAATTTAGGTTGTAGAGTAGAATCAGTGAAAAAGAATATCCTGCCGCAGCTGCTGTATCTGTTCCCTGTGGTGCCAGCTGATCAGTTTAGGGAATGGCACAAACTTATGTCTAGGTATACATGGAATGGCAGAAAACCTAGAATTAAATGTAAAACCTTACAGCTATAAAAGGAAGATGGAGGAATGGGACTTCCATTCTTTTTGGAATATTATTAGCCAGCCCAGCTGAGACCCCTTGTATGCTGGTGTGATTCTGGGTATCTGTCCAGGTGGAAGGAACTAGAGTTGGCAATGTCTGACAGGATCCCACTCCAGGCGATAGTTTCCGACGTAACACTAGCCAAGAATCTTTCAGACAAAAAAGATTTGGTAGGTGGGTAGGGCAGGGAGTGACAACGTATTGTAGGTTGATACACAAGGGTGCTCTAAAAAGCTTTAAAAGCAGAAGGGAGGAGTAATTTGGGACAGCAGGACTTCTATAGGTTTCTCCAAATACGACACTATTTGAGAGAAACCCTAAAGGGTGTTGACATGTTAAACCTAGAGGTAGGACTGATGAAACTTTTTCGATCTGCTTATAACTCTGAACCTACTGCTGAAATTATTTCCAAGATATACAAATGCTTCCTGGACATATACACAGGTGAATCACAATATATTAAAGAGAAATGGGACAGGGAAAGTAATGGAGTTCTCACTGGGGAAGAATGGCGGACTGTCTGTCGTATACAATGGAAAACATCAAGCTCTCTTAGTTGGAGGGAATTCAGTTGGAAGTAAATGGCTAGATTCTTTATCACCCCTCTACAAACACGACATAAGACTGGTAACTCCGACTGTCAGAGACAATGTTAGGCCAGTTACGCAGGTCACTATCATATTCTTTGGGCGTGCCCTGTCTTAACAACTTATTGGAAGAATGTCCATTTCTGAGGCTTCCATCCAACGAAATTTAGAGAAAATGTTCGGTTTGATATTCTCTACCTGTGTAGTGTCCCTCCACAGATACACTCAAAGGATAGAACTCTCCTGGCAATTCTGCTGACTGCATGTAAAAAAGCCAAAACTCGCAAATGGTTAGAACCCCATATCAAAATTGGTGTTCATTTGAATGAAATCTGACTTGAACTTTTAAATCTTTTGAGGAAAAACAGCCATGTAACAAATTATTTGCAACAGTGTTTTCTTTGTATGATCCCTGCTAGCCAATAAACAACCAAACAAAGAATAATATTGGGTTCCCATTTAACTACAATGGCTTCAACAGGTGGCATTTTACAGCAAGGTATCGCATGAAGTACTCTGTTGGTATCTGTATCACTTTAAGGGTAATGGTTTCGGTACTGGTTAGGGGTGGGAGAAAGAAATCGATTCTTAGATGCATCACAATGCGGACGTGGAAGATTCTGGCTCGATTAACAAATGTCTAAAAATCGATTATTAAATGTTAACTGATAACGTGATGTTGACGGAACGGGTAAGGCGGAACTCGTGGAAGAGCAGCGCCCAGACCGTCTGTGGAGCGCACACAGAGAGACCAGTGTTCTCCTGTATTAACCATAACCACACAATGAATAACCACCCCACTAAAATGTCACAATATCATTAATATCAATGCGCAAGTAATGATTTTAACTCGCACACTGCGAGCATGGTGACACTCGACGCTCAGCAGCTCTCTGCGTTTCCTGTGTGTGAGGCCGAGCGAGTGAGAGAGAGCGAGCCGCAGAACGTGACGGTGAAAGTTAGTGGTGAAATATATTTGCACTAAGTTTCTGTCTGGTAGTAAATGTGCAGCGTAGGTCACTGTGTGTCCGATAATAAAAGTCTTTCCCCTGCTGGAAAAGTTAAGGCTGTTAGCGCTAGCACGTTTTTGCTGTTTATAACGGTTAGTTAAATTAGCAACAAAGTAATGTTAATTAGTTCAGCTGTATGTCATTCTAACTTAGCTAAGGTTACCAGTCAAGGACTGAACACATCAGGCACAAGCTTAGACTAAACTGGTGTGCAGCTCTGTCCTGTACACATACTGTACATCATAATTATTATATTTCAGTGTTCAGAGTCTGACAACTGGCTGTTAATGAAATGAGGGACCATGGAGTTGAGGTTAATAAAGTAAATTAGGGATGCAAACCAGTCCTTTTAAGCTAATTATGTTAATTAATTAATGTTTCTTTTGGATTTTAATACGCAAATCAATTACTTAGTAATTATCCAGAGATCCTGTCTAGAAAAAAATTATGCGTCAAGATGTATCGAATATTGTTTTATTATCGAATCGCAGCCCTCTGAATTGTAATCGAATCGAACCGTGAGGTGCCCAGAGATTCCCACCCCTAGTACTGGGTACAGTAAAATTTTAACCCCACAATGCAGATATTCTCTGTCTAAATAGTTGATCACACTCTGACTGATGCTTCTCTGTAGACAACCAGTTGTCATCACTGTCAGCGTCAACAGTCTCAGAAGAGTTTTCAGTCTTGTTTCCAGTCTCAGGTTGTAAAAGTCTACCTGGATCAGAGTTCCTGGCTGGTTCTGGTCCTCCACGGTCCTCTCCATCAGCTTCTCTTTCCATCTGTTTCCATGTCTTCAGCTGAGCTGCTGGCTCGAGGCTCTGCATCCTTGTTCTCCCCAGGTTGGTTTCCATGTGAGGACTCATCACCACACTTGTGTTTTTTGAGTTGATAAAGATAAGTGAATCTTATGTCACAAACACTGCAGCTGAATGGTTTCCATCCTGTATGAAGGCTCATGTGTTTCTGCAAATTATACTTTTGAGAAAATCTTTTCCGACACTCAGAGCACCCGAATGGTTTCTCTCCTGTGTGGATTCTCAAGTGTGTCTTCCAAGATGACTTTTGAATAAATCTTCTCCCACACTCAGAGCAGCTGAAAGGCTTCTCCCCTGTATGAAGTCTCACATGTCTCTGCAAATTATCCTTTAGAGTAAATCTCTTCCCACACTCAGAGCAGCTGAATGGTTTCTCTCCTGTGTGAGTTCTCATGTGTGTCTGCAATTGTCCCTTTCGAGTAAATATTTTCCCACACTCAGAGCAGCTGAATGCTTTCTCTCCCGTGTGGAGTATCAAGTGTGTCTTCCAAGATGACTTGCGAGTAAATCTTTTCCCACACTCAGAGCAGCTGAATGGTTTCTCTCCAGTGTGAGTTCTCATGTGCATCTGCAAATGTCGCTTTTGAGTAAATCTTTTCCCACACTCAGAGCAGCTAAACGGTTTCTCTCCCGTGTGGACTCTCAAGTGTGTCTTCAAAGAAGACTTGTGAATAAATCTTTTCCCACACTCAGAGCAGCTGAATGGTTTCTCCCCTGTGTGAGTTCTCATGTGTCTCTTCCAATCTCCCATTTGAAGAAATCTTTTCCCACACTCAGAGCAGCTAAACCGTTTATTGTTAGCAATGTGTGTCCTACTACTGACAGGGACGTCATCATTACAATGAGAGTTTAAACCTGACAGAGGTTCTCTGGTCGCCTCCCAGTTTTCACTGTCTTTGCTCTCAGAAGAGTCTTCAGTCTCAGATCGTGAAAGTCTATCTGGATCAGAGTTCCTGGCTGGTTCTGGTCCTCCACAGTCCTCTCCATCAGCTTCCATCTGTTCAATTTGGCTTTGATGAAGCTGTGAGGACTGAGGTTTCTCTTCATCATCTTCTTCACTCTTCACAGGGACAGGAGTGAATGGGAACTTGGTGATATCAGCCTCCTCCAGTCCTGGAAGCTGCTCTCCCTCCTGACTGGTCCAGAGTTCCTCCTGTTCCTCTTTAATATGTGGAAGCTGTGGGTCCTCCTGGTCCAGACTGGGTCTCCCCTCCTCTTTAATTTGTAGGGGCTCTGGTGGGTCCTCCTGGTCCAGACTGGGCTCTTCTTTGCTCCCCAACAGTTGCTGGATGTCTGATATAAAAGGAAACATACAGACAGACATTAAAGCACACAGCAAGACTACACTAATACCTTACAGTAGGTCGGGTTCATTAGTATTCTATTGAATTTTAATCCAGTAGAGTCTCATCAAATCTCTTTAAGCCACATTTCACCTTTTTATGTAATGCAAGTTATAAAGAATTCAAACAAAACAATCAGTAGAGATTTGTGATCACATGTCAATGAGGAAACATTGTTAGTTTAATCCCTTGTTGTATTTTATGTAAAAAGGTGGGAAACTCCTGTTTAATAAAAAGATTATTTTTCAATGACTCTCTACGTTTGCTGTCTGATCACATCAACAGAGTAATTAAAATGTCTGGTCACAGAGCTCCTTACAAAGGAAAAAGTCAGGAAAACATTTTATATTAAAGTCTCATTCTATTCAAAGAATTATCTTAACATTAAAGGCAGGGTTCTTCTGGGCTCCTTCCAAAGCCACGCCCCCAAAACACGTACACGGGCGTTGCCGACACCACTGGTGGACGAGCACAGTGTGACAAACGGAGAGTAGCACAGTGCAGTGGCTCACATCGGGGGTAAGAAAACATTTAACTTTATCATTATGAAAATAAACAACTAACCCGGCTGTTAGTGCTCACTATCAAGCTAGCATGTTAATATTGAATAGGTTTAAAAAGACTGACTTTGATTCAGTAACGAGCTGGCTAGCTAACTGTTAGCAACAGGTAGCCGTGCTAACAGCTGCGGTAACATTGGGCAAAGCTACAAACAGGCGGATACACATTTTCCCATTTCCATCAGTTACACTACACAAACGTGAATTTCGTGTTAGACTCCTAACATGTACGTTGTTTTGCATGTTAGAGCTTCCACGGTGACAGTATTACTGTCTCTGATGAGGACTGGACTCCAGAGCCAAGCACAGACCAGGACAGGACCGGGAATGGCCCGGTGTCGAGGCTAAGCAGAGGAGGGAGGGCAGCTAGGGTCCGAGGAAGAAGAGGCAGGACGGGGAGGACTAGGTGTAAGCTAAGGAGTACATATTCTAGGACCTGCGTCGAGCTTTACACTCCAACAACGGCACATGAACAGGTGTATATATCAGGGTATATACACGGGAATCTTAAATCCCAGTAAAATTCAATCCCTTTTTATGACCTTTCAACATATTTTAAGACTGCCGCGCCACTTTGAGCTAACCGATTAAATCAGCCACACACCTTCAAAAGGAATGTAAGTACATTTCTAACATATTTATTGCCTATATGTCATCAGGTTGTTATGCCACCTAAAAATTGAGGCTTTCACCAACTTTCTCTGTTGCCTATAACATCCTGTATGGGCCAACTGTTTTGTGTGTGAGGGACTGGTCAGATTTCCTGTGAAAACTGTCTTACATAAGCTGTGACGTTTATGTACGCAACATTACAGCAGATCATGTGAAACACAGTGTAATTTTGTGTTTAGTTAGTTTAACAACATTCAAACAGGTCAGGAGGGAACAAAGATGGAGAGAATAAATTGAGTAATGAATAACGTAAGTAGTGAGGAACTAGTCTGAATACTACTATGTAGTATAATATTATAACATTAAATTAAAAGTATATTGTTAATGTAATAATAAACTTTAAGCTTGATATTCAATATAATTTAATTTTATAATAGAATATAAGATATATTACCACAAGTAAAATATTAATTCAAATTACAGCTGTTTCAGTTTGGGGTTGTTTTTTTTTTTCCCCATTAACTTTGTGCAAGAAAAATGCTCAAGGCTACATGAGAGTATCCAACCTTGATTTTAGGCTACTAACTCGTCAATAATCAGAACCGTTTATGCAGAACACTGAGTTCAACATTTATAAAGTTTGTTGCAGCACATCAAACTTCTTTTTTAAATCCCACTCCATACAGGCTGTGACTGATCTGTTCACAAACCGTGACACTGACGAGAGCATCGGCTTTATGAGAAGTTGAACATGTTTCAATAAAAGGCAGCGATTTAGCTAATTAGCCAGCTAACGTTAGCCAAACCCACACGCTCCTTGAATTCTTCCTGTTGTCTTCTGTCTTACCAATTCAGCTGCTGGCGGCGCATCTCGCTCTTGTTTTTCAGGAACGGGGCTGTTCAAGTGGCCACAGAGCGACCGGCCAACCGGGTTAATAACGTTTCTCCTGATCGCCACTCTGACTATGTTTTGGACGATTAGCATTGAGGGTCCGGCGGGGTGGGGGATTACGGCCGGTTCTACTCGCAAATCATTTCACGGTTTGTACAGATCTATTTTTTGGAGCATTTAAGAGTGAAATAGGCACTCGGTAGATCCCTGTGCCTAATGTTACAGAAACGAATCACACAGTCGCTACTCTCTGTCTGTCTAGAATTTTTGGCTATGCATTATATATAAATACGTTCACCTACACCTAGTTAAATGGCGATTAAGACTTTTTAATGGCCTTAATTTTTGCAAAATTGATTTATTACCTTTTAAGACTTTTTAAGACCCCGCGGACACTCTGATATATACACATATATATTTTAACATTTATACATTATGTCCCAGTGTACTTGTCTCAAAGTTTCTCTGGTGTTTTCCCCTAAGGCCTTTGGGTGTCAAAAATAAAGTGATATATAAATGTAATCCATCACTATTGTTATTTTTTTATTGTTTACTAATTACTAACTGCAGCTCTGCTTCAGCAATCGGCTCATCTATGTAATGTACAATGACCTGTGGCCTGCACTACGAAGGAAGTTCAACCTACTCAGAGTTAACTCGGGGTTATCAGGCAAACTCAGGGTTAACAAACTCTGACCGCTACACTGGAGTTAAACTATGACTGTGGATAAGATGTTGGTTAGTTGAGTCCGTATTAACAGGAGTTGGTGCACGTTCGCATAAAAGGGGCGTGTTCGGCCGTGCAGGTAGTTTTCTTCACAGCGGCGCATGCTCCGTATTTCTCACGTTGATTGTGTCAGGATATGATGAATGTAATGAACTAGTTAACGGCTAAATCTAATATCGTGGCGGACGACAAAGCCAGAGAGGCTTGTTGGCATCGCATGGAGTTAATGTGTAGCCTAATTATCTTCTCACTGTTGTTCTCTCTTTCTCTATTATGTGTTTTATGGGCTCTTCTTTTATGTGTAATATGCTTTACAATCAGATTTATCAGTGAGGAAATACTGAGTTTAGCCCACAATCACCATCATGCACCTCAGAGACCTTGCCTTGGATTGGTTGTATTTAGAAGAAAACACCAGAGTGAGTTTTGATTTTTTTTTGTAACATTAATTTCAGGGAATTTCCGATTTTTGTTCCTGTAAAGTTGACACTTTCATCTAGGATTTGTTTCTCGGTTTATTAACCCCTGGCTCCCTATTTTTGGACAGGTAAAACAGTCTACAGTCTAAATATGTAAAAAACACTCAGGAGAATTCAATGATACATCTAAGAAACTGTCCCATTAATTTATTAAGATCGCCTCCCTAAAATCACAGCTCGGCTGCAGGGCTCGCTGTCTGAACAGGATGCTGATGTGTTCAGAATAACTTCATGTCAGCTGAAGAGAAACAAGTCAGGATGGAATCTGAAAGTATTTTATGAAGCTGTGTGTATTAATACTTCATTAACACTGAGTACAGATGAGGTGTGTAGTCCACATGCAGGGTAACCTCGAGATAACAATGAACAAAACCTGCTCGGAGCAGTTTAGAGATGTGGCGTAAATTGCCATGGCAACAGAGCTCGGGTAACACCCATCCACCTTTCGTAGTACGGGTTAATCAGGAAGTCACACCTGAAGTTACCTGGATAAGCCGGTTACCACGCTTTGAAGTACAGACCACTGGTGTGTAATGTGGACACAGAAGTCCTGTTAGAGAACAATAAAGCCCTGTTCAATAAAAATATCTGATCATGTTGATGAATGTTCTGTCCTATAAAGCAGAGCTTTCCTATCTGGGGTTCTAACAGCTATATATTCCTTTACAGACCAGAATCTGTGGACAACATCCAGACTACAGTGTTTCCATGCACCACACAAGGCTGATCTTCAGACCCAGGACAGAGTAACAGACAGTTCAGTCAGGCAGCAGACAGACAGTTTGCAGTGTGGAGCACTTAGACACAGAGTCGTGATTCTGAGTTGCTGTTTCTGGAAGATATGCAACTGTTGATCCACCAGGACAATACAGAGGTTTAATCCCAGCAGGGTGGAAGATGTAATGTCACCAACTGCTACACAAATAATCCCCTCCACTGTGTGGATGAATACCTGTACATTGTTGTGCCAGGAGGGTAGAGAAAATACAAAGATATTTTTCCCTGTTCTGGATAATATTTTCTTTTTTAAATAAAACATTGAAAATGATAAATGCCTTTTCTTTACACCTGCAGCATAAACAATCAAGCAACTACATTGATGTCTTATGTCTCCAATAATGACATCCAAATGTGGTATAACACTTGTTTATTGTTATTATATACTACTAAAACTACAACCTAAATCACAAATAGATCATTCATCAAACATCATTAAAAATAAATATATACAGGAAGAGACGAGGTGTGTCCAGGTGTCCTGACTGATTATGAAGACAGTTCAGACTTTACTCGTAGCATCGTATCGCTGCTGTGGAGATTAAATATATCACAGTCACCTCTCTGACATGATTACCACATTTCAAAACAACCATATTACTTTTTGTTTTATATTTTCCTGTATCTAGCAACACAGTTGGGGCAGGGACACCTGACTGAACCCCATGTTGACAGGGATCATCAAGTCTCCTGGTTCTGCTTCTAGGCATCTCCTCAGTAGTAGACAACTGGAGGAGGAGGAGGAGGAGGAGGCGGCGGCGGCACTCTGGAGGTCTGTGATGTAACTCTAGTCCTTCTCCACCTTCAATGAGTACAAGCTCCTCTTCCTGGACTTTGCTGTACACCTTGCTGCACCTGATAATACAGAAAGGAGGATCAGCTTAGCGAAATGTTTCTAACACCTGACATTATTCTCATACAGTAGTTTGCATTTCCACATAAAATGCAATCAAAACCGTAAATCAGCACCATCTATCAGTATTCCTCATGCTGTTTAATATTTTTTGACTCATCACTTATAAATGTATTGAGTAAAACGCACAAGAGTTCTCATAATGCAACATACTGAACTGTGTCATCAGCTTTTCTCCTGGCTGGTCTGTGGACACGGTGGTTGTTATCCAGACCAGCCAGCATGGTCCAATCAGCGTATACTGGTGAGAAGCACCGGGTGTTGGAAGACTGCAGGTGACCTGAGGGCGCAGTAGAAATAAAACATACAGGATTTTTTACTTCGGGTAAAATAAGTATAGTAACAGCACCAGTTACAGTAAAAGGTTTTCACACAGTAGGTTTAGCTACGAACAATATCAAACTATATTACAGGTAGCTTATATACCAGAAACACAGATACTTGGGGAACTTTAGCCATCATTGTTTATGTACACTAACGTTGAAATGTCTCTCATATAACTACACAGCTACATCAGCACATTTGTAAAAGTAACATTCAGTCAAACATCAACTGCAGACACAAGATAATCACACAAACAGATTAGATACAAGGTAAAGATAAGTGTAAACATAGTAACCCTAGATGGTGAATAACTAAACTGGCGCAGTCTACCCCCGCATTGTCCTATCTAATGTTAGCATTGGAAAACCCAGCTCGCACTGCGATGCTGTTTTCGAAGTCAGCTGCAGCTACAGAGAATTCATCATCTCTTATATGTTACTCTGGCTCGCTCCACCAGTCTGCACTCATAGCAGCCGTTAGCTGAACGCTACGTAGGTAGCTACAGTTAGCTGAAGGCTACGTAGGTAGCTACAGTTAGCTGAACGCTACGTAGGTAGCTACAGTTAGCTGAACGCTACGTAGGTAGCTACAGTTAGCTGAACGCTACGTAGGTAGCTACAGTTAGCTGAATGCTACGTAGGTAGCTACATCTGCTAGCAATGAAAGTAAATTCCCATCAACATGATAAAAGCCAGATTACCTGTCCAGCAGAAATAAAGCCACCACGCTGTGACCGCCCCTCGGTGTTCCTCAGTTGTCACTATTGTTGAATGCAGATATCACCCACCGGTCTGACCGCTTCGCTCGTCAGGTCTGAGAGTTGACAGGGTGCGCGTACGGGAGCAGCTCCTGTAGCAGCACGGCTGGTAGCCATGGCAGCGAGGTCAGCCAGCCAATCAGTGCATTCGGTGTGAATGGAACGAGTGGCTGTGTTTACTGCAGCCCTGAGAGGACTTCAGACAGCTGATTGTTATACTCTCTTTTTCAGAGCACCTAACTTTTCAATATGTGTATAAAGACAGTTTCAACAAATATGACAAACTGACCCACTAGCGGTGCAGTTTTAAGACTGCAACAAGGCGTGTGCTCGTCCTTGCGCTCGCTTTAACTCATGAGCGAGCAGAATCCGAAATACTTTAATATAGAAATCCTGAAATAAACGCAGGAACACCAGCATGCAGGCTGTGGCTTTTCACTCAGACATGTTCAGGCTCTGTTACTTCAACGTTCCCGTCTCAGAGGCAGATCAACACCGGCTCCGTAACGTTACTTCATTCAGCGCGGCGAGCCGCATATTGGCGCAATCCTCCCGGAAAAAGGCAGAGTGACGGCGGCTATAGACAGACAGGGAGACAGCTTCACACAACATGCTGGAAACTCAGGTAACCTCCCACAGCGTTAGCTTGCTGCTCCTGGCTGCATCGCTATAGGCTAACGTTAGGAAACAAATCGCTCCACATTTTCTTTTTACCGTTTACATCCTTTCTTGCAGGCTAAATCAACAGCGGTACTCAGGATGGTAACACGGGTCGCGTTAATTGTTGAAGTAATGCGGAAAACAATATAACTTTTCACAGGATAACATGCTCTGTGTTAGCTGGCGAGCTAACATGACTTTGTCTGTGTTTCTCCAGCTTTACTAATGCTCACTTTGTTCTTACTCGACATCATCTGAACCTGTTTGGTCTGATGGGCTTCAGCACATAAACCTTTATTGTTGTTTTGGATCCTTACGTGGAGCCTGTGTTTTGCTGTGAGCCGGTTGTTTTGCGGTGTTAGTGGGCTGCATGTCGTTAGCTGCCGTGTTGTCGCTGTAGTCTGAGACGCTCGGGAGCGCGAACAGGGCTGAATCCGACCCGGAGACCTCACATTAAAAGCAGAACAGTGACTGATGCAAGCGAGAAAACAGGCATGTGCTTCATTTCTGAGTGAGTTTTGAGCCCACTGACAATAAGGCAATGAACATATAGCCCCTTTAATGAAACACTCCACTGTGATCATTCAGGTTATTAGAGTGCAGGATAAAACTACAGCTCCCAGAAGGCTTTGCTGGCGCTGCTGAGGCTCTAAGGCTCATGGGAGTTGTGGTTTCTACCCGCTAACAAAGTATTTGTTGTTTTATTTCAGTTTAAATTAAGATGTTTTCACAGTTCAAAGCCAGAACTTGTAGTTTTTATCACTTTCTCTCAGACTGAGTCAGAAAACCTCAGAAAAAGTTCCAGGTTTTAGTGGAAACCTGGATGTTGGGGGGGCCGCTGGCAGCTAGCGTTAGCATGTCCGGGGTTTCCTCCGGGACTGACCTGCTCTGTGCAGCCGGACTTCGGGCTTCAGCACGGCCTCCAGCAGCCTCCTCTGGCGGCAGACCTCCCGCTCTGCCCGCTCAGCTCTGGCTTCGTACTCCGCCACGGTTTCCTCGAACACACCGACGATCTCCTCCGCGGCCGCCGCGAGCCGCTCGGTGAGCAGCGCTCTCAGCGCCGGGACTTCCGCCGGTTCTTCTCCCGTTTCCACCCGCAGCAGAACGTCTTCAGCGGCGGCGCTGATCCGCTCGTGGACCGACACCCGCAGCAGCTGCACGGCGCACATTTTACTGCTTTCTGCGGACAAAGAGCGGGGACGTAAACACGGAGCGGAGTTCCGCGTCGACGACGCTTCGCTGAGGGAAGCGAACAGCGAACCCTGCTGGACCGGAGGGAGAACAGCAGCCGAACCCGAAGCCGAAGCAACAAGGGGTTCAGGGTCCTGCTCTTCTTCTTCTTCTACTGGCTTTCCGGCAGACTAGATGCCTTACGGCATATTGCTGCCACCCACAGTTCAGTCTCGGTATCGCTTTATAGCACCTTCATTCTCAGAGGGCTAATCCTGTTGCAGATATAAAATCCATGACTGCTTCCACTGTCCTTGATTGGTTCTCATGAGGATTCAAAATATCTCTCAATGTCACTGCTTGTAATCCATCTCCTGATACCTCAGAATAAAGTTGTTCTCTTTGCCTTTTATACTGTTGACATTCCATAAACACATGATTAACAGTCTGTTGTTGATTGCAGGTTCTACAGAGCCCATCCTCATGTTTGCCTATCTTCGCTAGATCCCATGCAAATCCACAGTGTCCCAGCCTTAGTCTTGTCATAATTACAGCTTGTCTTCTGGATTTACCCAAGTAACTCTGCTCTGTCTTTACTTTGTTTTGTATTGCATAATAATGCCGGTCCTTTGTTTCCTTTTCCCACTGCCTCTGCCATACTACTATAGTGTTTTCGTTAATGACAGATCTACATTCAGTGACCCCAATACAAACTGCTAAATCAATATCTCTTTTCAGAGTCATTTTTGCTACCTTGTCTGCCACCTCATTCCCTTCTACCCCAACATGTGCAGGGACCCAGAGAAATCCCACTGACCCTCCAGCCTTTTCGATTTTATACAACAGAACCATCAGCTCCATAACCAGATCTGGTCGAGCTCCCATATTATTATCTCCCAGAGTTTTTAACACTGAAGCCGAATCTGAGCATATTACTGCTCTCCTTGGTTGCACTTCCTCTATCCACTTTAGTGCCCATATAATAGCTAGAAGTTCTGTTGTATACACCGATACCCCCTCAGACAGTCGTTTAAGCTTTACATATTCATATTGTGGGATATAAAAAGCAAAGCCTGACTTCCCAGTTTGTGGATCTTGGGATCCATCTGTATATATCTGAAGGTAAGTTCCCCACTGATTTTCCAGTCTTCGCTTTACCATATTGGGATACTCTGTGCCTTCATGATGTTTGATGTTATCCATTATACTAAGATCTATTTCTGGTATGGACATCAACCACGGTGGTACAACTGACCAGTACACTTGCGGGGCCATCCCTTCCTCCTTCAGTCCCAGTTCCTCAATTTTTTTTCTGATGTTAAACATAAAACATTCCTTCCTCCTTTTCCCTGATCCCCACTCCCACGCATTAATTAGAACTATTTTTGTAGGGTGTTCTCCTTTATGTGCCCATAATTTAACAATATACTGCATTGCCAATTTCTCCCGTCTAATTGACAATGGCATTTCCCCCATCTCTACCAACAAAGCTGGGACTGGAGTTGTACGGAGGGCCCCGCAACATAGTCTCAGTGCCTTAGCTTGTATTACTTCCAGCCTCTTTAAATGTGTATCAGCGGCTGTCCCATAACACACACATCCATAATCCAGTCTAGATCTTATCATTGCCCTGTAGATCATTAGTTGAGTATCTCTGCCTGCACCCCATGTGCTACCTGAGAGGGAACGCATTACATTTATTACCTTTTCACACTTATTTACAACATTATCTATCTGCTTTTTCCATGTTAGCTTCTCATCCAAATGCACACCCAAAAATTTGAACTCTTTAACCCTCTCAATTGCTTGTTCATACAAAAATAAACCACCACATTCAGTTTTCTTATTACCAAATATTATATACTTTGATTTCTCCACTGATATCCTCAACCCCCACTTTTTACCCCAACTAGTTACTTTGTTCAGAGCTACTTGCATTTGCTCAGTTATTTGTTTGACATTCCTGCCCCTTTTCCAGATGGCCCCATCATCTGCAAAAAGAGATTTTCCAAAACTATTCCCGATTTCTTCAAATATATCATTTATCATAATATTGAAAAGGACTGGGCTTATCACGCTACCCTGAGGAGTTCCGTTATCGATACCTGTACCAGCTGATAAAGCATTTGCAACCCTAACTTGAATTCTCCTGTCCTTCAAGAAGTCTTGTATCCAGTTAATCATCCTCCCTCTGACTCCAGCCTCATATAGTTTTATGACAAGCCCCTCCTTCCATAGCATGTCATACGCCTTTTCAATATCAATAAACACCGCCATTAATACTTCTCTATTCACCATTGCTTTCTTTATATCACTGTCAAGGGACGTAACGGCATCCATGGTACTTCTCCCTCTACGGAATCCACTTTGTACTGATGTAAACCATCCCTTCTTCTCTAACTTATAAACCAATCTGTCTGTAACCATCCTTTCCATTATTTTACATAGGACTGATGTCAGTGCAATGGGCCTGTATGATCCTGCCTTATAAGCGTCTTTCCCTGGTTTCAATATTGGAACCACCAGTGCATGCTTCCATGTGCTAGGTAGACTTCCCTCTTGCCATATGTGATTCATTAAGGTCAAGATTTCCTCCAAAACTATGTCACTAAGATTCTTAACAATCTCATAGCTAACACCATCCTTTCCCGGGGCTGTTTTCCTTCCTTTTCCAATTGCCCTGTGCAATTCTTCTAATGAGAAAAATAAATTACCCACATCAGAATTATCATTATTTATCTCAAGTTTGTATCGATTTTGCTCTAATATCTCATTTCTTTTCCTTATACCTGCTTCACCAATGTTAGCTCCACTGTGAACAGCTCTAAAGCTATTTTCACATAGCTTTGCTTTATCCAAATCACTTGTAGCAAACAATCCTCCCTCCTCTAAAACTGGCATTTTCCTTTTCCTATTACTTCCTGCCATACGATGTACTGCCCGCCATATTTCTGTTACTGCAGTCTCTGCCCCTAGTTTTCCACAGTATTTTCTCCAGCACTCTTTTTTTGCAGTCTTAATCACTCTGCGTGCTTTGGCTCGCAGTCTTTTATATTCTACTGCTTTATCTTCTGTTGGATGTTTCCTCAATGCTCTATACCCACAATTCCTGTCTCTTACTGCTTTATCACAGTCCTTGTTCCACCATGGCACACTAATTTTCCTTTTAGAACACTTCTTTATCGGGATAGATTCAATTGCACTTTTCATTTTTTATTATTTCACATAAGCTGCTATTCCATTCCTCTATTGTCCCTTCCTCATTTACTTCCTCTATAGTTTTGTTACACTTTTCAGAAAATAATGCCCAATCTGCCTTACTATAATTAAATAAGTTTTGGTTACCCTGTTCTTCACTCAATAAAGTTTTCCCAAACCTCAATAATATTGGGTAATGATCACTCCCTATTGTATATCTGTCCAAAGAATCCCACTCTCCAACCCTAGCTAGTTCACTGGATGCTAATGCCAAATCTATATATGAAACATTTCCTGTTCTAATATCAAATCTAGTTGGCCTGCCATCATTTAAACAAACTAATCTCCACCTGTCCGTAAATTCCTCTATAGTGCTCCCATTATTATCTTTTATTCTGCTACCCCAAAGAGGGTTGTGAGAATTAAAATCCCCCACCCAAATGACCGGTGTCCCTATTTGTTCCATAACCCACTCCAACTCGCTTAGATTTATTTGCAAACAAGGATTATACATGTTTATTATGTTAATCCACCTGTGCTGTCCCCAAACTCTTACTATAACACATTCTAGTTTAGACATTATCTCTACATTTTGATACTGTACATCTGATCTTATAAATGTTGCACACCCTCCCCCAGACTTTCCTTTTCTATCATATCTGTTACTTTCATATCCAGGAATCACAAAATCTAAGCATGGTTTAAGCCAAGTTTCCTGAATACATATCACCTCTGGTAGATCCTTAAATTCATCAACAAATCTCTTAAGTTCCTGTCCATTAGCCATCAAACTCCGTGCATTCCATTGTAAGATGTAAAACATCAGCAATTTAACTATCATCATTTATGTCCATGTTTCTTTCCCCAGTACATTCCTCATTACTGTCAGTGATCTTTTGTTTTCCCCTACCTCTTTCATAAACTTCCAGTTTCTGTCTCATATACTTGTGCAACTCTTCAGGACCCATACATGCCTCTTCCAGAAATCTCTCTGCAGCATCCACCACCACTTTAATAACGTCAGATCTTCTGGTTTGGTCTCTAACTGCCCACAGAACATCTACCATGAATGCCAGGAATGACTGGGTTCCCACAATCTGCCTCACTTTCTCCCTATCAGGCTGGGAATCAGAAGGTACTTCAACTACCACTTGTCTGGAAGGTTCCCCCGTTCCCCTCACTTTCTTCAGGGCATCTGCATATGATATTTTGCCTTCAACTCTCAATTTCTCTACTCCCACAGCTCTAACATGATGCTCACACCCCCTAAATGAAGATACATGATTTCCGCCACAGTTACAGCACTTGACTATATCAGCTTTACATTGAATAAAGTCATGGCTTCCTCCACACTTCCCACATCTTTTTTTCCCTCCGCATGCTGCTGCTTCATGGCCATAGCGTTGACAATTGTAACAACGCAGTGGGGGACGAATATACTGTCTCACTGGCAAGCTAATATATCCAAGGCTGACCCTTGCTGGCACAATATCTTGCTTGAATGTTAATAGCACAGCAGTACCGGTTTCTTTGAATCTCCGTACAGCTACAACCTCAGCTCCCTTTAAATTCTTCAAGATGTCACTCTCTTCTATCTCAAGGCTTACATGGATCACTCCTTTAGCATTTTTAGCCTGACCAGGAATAAAACATTCAACAGGCCTGTTAAGCAAATGCCGAACTTTAAGGGCATTCAACCTCTGATTATCATTTCTGCAAAAAACAAGTATATTCCCATTCATCATCATTTTAACATTTAGAACTTTTCCCATTTTGTTTTTTAGCTCCTCCGATAGTCTGAGTGGGTTTAAGGCTTTGTCACTTTTATCTTTGAATTTAACTATCATCCTAAATCCACCCTCCTCTTCAGATCATGGCATTTTCCTTGTGCTTTGGGACTCGTCACTCTCACTTCCACTTCCATTGTCAGATCTATCTCTTTTTTCAGATTGTCTGGACTTTTTGTCATTACTCCCAGCACCA